TATCTTTCACCCTTATCTCGACGGAAGTTTCCGTGAAATGGAAGGACGTCATCGCTGGAGGTGAGTGAGGTTGCATTAGGAAATTTTCCTTGATGCCATGTTTGGCACGGATTTGGCACGGTTACAAGACTTTTGTCAACCAAAGGGTAAGGTGTAGATGCCCGACCTTGAGTTCTAATACCCTTGAAGCAGACACTTCAAGGGTATTAAGACTAAGCCTTTTAAAGAAATAAAGGAAGCAGATATGCTGCTACTAATGAACATGTGTGAGAGCCCCCAGACCAGTGCAAAAAGCTGAATTCCGTTACGGTTGATAGAAGTCCTTGGACATTTGGTTCACCCTTTCGCTTGCACCTGAATTTGACAAATACAACAACTGAACAACGATGCCGCACTATCCTTGAAGTTACAGCGCCTTTGCGCGCCTACCTACACCCTACCGGACTGGCCAAAAATATGAAAGTGCAGATTGCAGTATTAACAACATAAGAACCATGCATAAAAATGTAGTCGGGATTGAGACCCATCGAACAGAATCACTGAGATGATCTACTAAACATTTATGCAAATCTATAATGCAATGAGTCCTACTAAATACGAAAGTGAGCAAATTATGTGAAGTTAATCGTACATGACTAAATATCCATTGAATCGTATCACCATTCGGAAATGTCATACCGTAGTTTTTAACACGCACAACGTGAATTCACATATCAACAAATAAATATCACCAAATAAATCCTAGTACATAAGGAATCTTAACAATAACATGCTACAAAGAATACTTACGCAGAAAGCGACAATCTCAAGAATGCCAGAATTTTTATGAAAAGACAAACACATCACATAGACATATTGAAGGGACATTTCCCATATACCAATAAAGCGTGATTAAAAAGTGAAAATGAATGACAGTGAATGGTTAAACAGACCAGATCCAAATCAGTACTCTGTATACGAGGGAATTTCCGGAGAACACTCGTCACCAACAAAATTCTGGATTTCTTGCCAGATAATCCCTAAAAACAAGAATATTCTACGAATTTGAAGTGTCCCGTTAATTCTTTGTTCAAAATTCCACATTATCAGCGGTACATAACCGCTACTCTATACCAATTTTCGTCACGGCCTGTACCACAGTAGCTACCGCACACGGATGAGTATCGTTGTTTAACAAGACACTCATCGACAACATTAGCCACGCATTAGGATTTTTAGAAAAACTGTTTGCGCTTATTCCGGCGTCAAAAGTTGATGAGAAAACTTTTACAGGGAGAGTGAAATCAAAATTTTTTTAAACTTCCTAGTACCGAATCCAGGGAGACTGATTCCTTACACAATTCCACGTTATATGACAGAAATGGATAATATGGTCATTTGATGCCCGTGGGCTGAGAATGGGTATCTTATCACGATTACCGGAATCAAAGCACAGAAATAATATCGAAACAACTACCTTTCCACTCATCTCGCGTCCTACTTGGATTATCATGCAAGTCGAACGAGGATGTGGCGGTGGGTTCGTCGGAAGCATCCACATAATCAGCAAAATAAGGATGTGCCAAAGCCTGTTCAACGGTAAGCCTGGAACAATACGATAGCAATCTATCCCCGTTAAATGCATT